AACATTCCTTTTTAAAAATGTTGAGTTCCAAATTTTCTCCCTTCCTCCCTCCCCTCCCTGAGATGGTAAGAAATTTGTATAATCATGTAAATTATATTTCCATATCATAAGTAATGGTGTGAAAGAAAAGAGACCCCCCAAAAAACCCACATAAAAAGCATGCTTCAATCAGCATAGAATATGGTACTTGAGGGCAGGGGCTAATTTTACATTTTTTAAAAAATTTCCAGTGCTTAACACAGTGCCTGCCACATAGGAAGCATGTAATACAAGCTTTCTGACTCAGTCTGAAGCCATGCTAGTTTTTAAATGATCACTGATTGCCTTCCTAAATGTTCATGAACCATACCTTTAAAAAAAAGGTTGTTTAGAATTTAGCCAGCAATAGAAGTCAAAGTCACCAGCTTATGGCTCACAGACATCAACCCTTTTCCCTTTTTTAAAAATCTGTAGGATGCAGAGCACCCAAGATGGCAGAATGGAAGAAAGTAATATAGCTAAGTTCTCCCCCACAACTACTTCACAAAGATCTAGAAAACAAAATTGACCAAGTCCTGATTGGGAAATCCAAGAAAAAAATACCACAGCTGAACAGAAACTCTGAAATATAAACACAGCAGTCAAAAAAACCATAAAAAGGTGGTGGTGGTTTTTTTGGGGGAGGATAAAACAAGCAAATATGAGATTAAACCAGGTAATTATCACATGGGGTGATGATCTGTGTCTCCTCCAAACCCCATCATCACTGGGGTGATGGAGTTAAATAGGACAGGGAGTCTGGGAGTATTTTCTTATGTTTTGATGATTTTAAAAGAAAGGGAAAGGAGGGGAAAAGGAAGGAGGGTAGAAAAGAATGGGGAAAACTATCTCATATATTATCTTATATAATTTGGATGCTTAAATTGATATATGCAAACCTTAAGGAAGGGATAGGGGAGAACAGCCAAGCCTTGAACCTCAGTTTCATTTGAAGTAGTCAAAGGGAGAAAGAATGCATGCACACAATTACGGGCAGAAATATTTTTCCCTCAATAAACAAAGAAGGGAGAGGGGGAAATAAGGAAGAGCAGATTAGAAGAAGGCTTAGTCCTAAGGAAAATAAAATCTAATGAAGAATGGTAGATCTCAAAGATGTATTTAAAAGGAAAGAAAGGAAGGATAAAAATGTGAGTGGGCTCTGGGAAAGGAAGAATGGCAGGGGAGCAGAAACAGATTGTATCAAATCTAGAGCACTGGTGCTGAGCATACTCTCTCCCTCTCACTAAGTCAAATCAAGTGGGCTATAAAGAGGAGGTAAAAAAAAAACCTGAATACAATGACTAATTATAATTCCAGACAACTCATGATAAAATATATTACCTACCTCCTTAGAGGTGATGATCTCATGGTGAAGAACAATACACTGATACACACACACACACACACACACACGCACGCACGCACGCACACACACAGATGACCTTTATAGGAATTTGTTCAACTATACATATTGGTTTCAAATGTTTTCTCTTTTTCTCAGGGGATAGGGGAGAGGGTGGGTAAAGGTAGGTGAATGTTTGGAGTAGTGTGAGGGAGAAAAGGTCAATTTTTGTCAATAAAAAAAATTAAGCTGCTAGGTTGAACGCAGTTAAGAATAGAAGGGAAACTGTTAACAGGGGGGAGAAATCATGGCAGCAGTTTCTCTGTTAAAGGTCTCATTTCCAAGACATGTAAGTAACTAATTCAAAGGATGAGAATAAGAGCTATTCCCCAATTGATAAATGGTCAAAGGATATGAACAGGCATTCTCTATGGAAGGCATCAAGCTATCAAAAACCATATGAAAAAATACTCCAAACCAATACTACTTAGAGAAATACAAATTAAAGCAACTCTGAGGTTCCAATTCATACCCATAGGATTAGTAAAGTTGACAAAAAAAGAAAAACTACAATTACTGAAGAGGCTGTGGGAAAACAGGTACATTAATGCAATATTGATAGAATTGTGAATTAGTTGTCATTCTAGAATGGCACAGTGGATAAAGTGCCGGGTTTGAAGACAGGAAAACTCATCTTCATAAATTCAAATCTGGCCTCAGACACTTACTAGCTGTGTGACCCCAGGCAAGTAACTTAACTCTACTTGCCTCAGTTTTCTCATCTGTAAAATAAGCTGGAGAAGGAAATGGCAAACCACTCCAGTATCTTTGCCAAGAAAACCCCCAAATGGGGTCATGAAGAGTCAGACACTACTAAAAAACAACTAAACAACAACAACCCCAAAGTTAATAAACTATACATGTCTTTTGGCCCAGCAATACCACTATTAGGCACATATCTCCAAAGAGATCAAAGAGAAGAAAAGGACCTATATGTACAAAAATATTCATAGCTGTTCTTTTTGTAGTGGCAAGGAACTGAAAAACTATGTTAAGTCCCCATTAAATGGAAAAGGGCTGGACAAATTAAGGTATATGAATGTAATGGAACATCATTGCACCATAAATTATAAGCAAAGGGATAGTTTCAGAGAAACCTGGGAATACATAGATGCACTGATACAGAATGAGACGAGCAGAACCAGGAGAACAATTTATACATTAACGCATATATGTATAATGTATAACAACTTATACAATAGAAAGACAATTTTGAAAGACTTACGATCTCTGATCACCACAATGACAAATCACAATTTAGAAGACCAGTGATGAAGAGTGCTATCTCTTGATAGAGAAAAGCAGAATAGGGCATGTATTTTTACATGGCCAATTTAGGAATTTATTTTGTTTGACTATGCATATTTTTACAAGGTTTCCCCCTCCCACAATAAGGAAGCTTGTTCACTGAAAAAAAAAAAATTTTAAAAATCTGTCCTTCCACAGTTGTGTGTCACCTCTACTGTTCTCCACAATCTTTCTAAGACCATCAATGATAGGCCAGGAATCACATCCGTTTTTTTCCCCCAATATCTTGGTAGGTAGTTCACCTAGGACTGGTGAAATGAATTCATTGAAAGCAATGAGATGCTCTCTCACTTCTCACTTATCTTGGGTTTTAACTTCTTTTTAACCATTCTTGTTCTATCATTCCAAATATCAATCTTTTTGAAAGAAAGAACAAGCAAAATAACATGAAGTAATTTTGTCTTCTGTATCTATTATCATCATCTCATTCACTCTAAGAGGTGGTTTATTCCTTTTTAAATTTTATTTTCTTCATTCCACTAACCAAAACAAAAAGCAAAAACATAACAACAACTTTTGTAGTATCTGTTAAGCATTCTTCACGAGCTCAATTTCTTCTGGGTTTAGAACAGACACAATTCCTATAATTACCATGTTACTTTTTAAAATTCATCTTTGTAGGTAATGGAAAGATGTATCTTCTAAACCAGAGTTCTTCATAAAGCCACATCAATCACTTTATTTTTGCAATTTAATGATAGGGTGTTTTATTTATTTTTTTTTTTACACAAAAGCTATTTTGAATAAACTCTATTATAAAATACAATCCTGGGAAGGGGGCAAGTTAAGATGATCAAATATGAGCAGAAAGGAAACATCTTCCCTGCACTAGTGCTAATGGCCAGCTGATGACAAGTGAAGGGCTAATACCCTGAACTGAACACGGTCATGAGCAATTACAACCTTGTCTGGCTTACTGATTCATTTCAGCTATTTATCAGGAAAGAATTTTGTAGGGTCCTTTACTGCAGGTGATACTGGAACCTGAAGAATTTATCCCTGCTTTTTTTCCTGTCCCCAAATTGGTCCAGCTCTGCTGGAAAGACTGGCATTGCTTACTCTGATGAATTTGCTGCTTTCTTTATTTGCTGCATGTACTTTTATAATGGGTTTATTCTCCAGATAAAAAGAAGCTGATTTTACTATTAAAAAATGAAAGGAAGGAAAGAGGGAAAGAAAAATGGAAGAAACGAAAGAAAGGAAGGAAGCCTTTTAACTTTATCAGTATGGCACTAACACTGACTTCAGTATTTTACCTGAGCTTTGTTGTATCCACGTTTTGATTTTATTTACATCATTGCATTTTTTAAAAAATGAATTTTTTTCAATTAAAAATGTATTTCCTCTTTTTTCATCTCCCTTCCCTCTCAATTAAAAAAAAAAAAACAGAACTTGTCACCAATATGCACAGTCATAACAGAAAAACAAATTTCTGTACCATGTCCAAAAATACATCTCATTCTTTACCCTGAGTCCATCACCTCTCTGTGAGGTATTGTGAGAAGTAAAAAGCAGATTCTACTTTTTGTAAAGGTTGGAGACTACTAACCTAAGGTAATGTGGAGTATTTACAATTTATAATAATTGGCAATCCAAAGAGACTGAGCCTTGGCCCCAGCCACGATCACTCAGCCTCTCCAAACCTCAGCTTCCTCATCTAAAAGAGGAAGAGGTGAAAGCGATGACCTGTGTAGTCCTTTCAAGATCTTTTACACCGAATGTCCCAGGAGATTACTGGCTTTAGAGCTAGAGGTCAACATATTTTCTTGGCCTATTATGCCCATAATATTCATTAGCAGAAATTATTATTTGGTACATGCTGGGTATCTGAATACTATTAGTACCACAGCCATTAAAGCTTAAATTCAATTTAAAAAACCATTATTAACGTAAATTTAACATATTTAATTCAAAGAAATATATCTTATCATGCTTCGGCAGTTAAGTGGTGCAGTGGATACAGCTCTGGACCTGGAGTCAGGAAGACCTGAGTTCAAATCCATTTTCAGACACGTTCTAGCTGTATGACCCTGAGCAAATCACTAAACCTCTGTTTGTCTCAGTTTTCTCAACTGTAAAATGGTGACAGCAACTACTTTTCAGAGCTATTTTGAGGATCAAATGAGATAATATTTGTAAAGCACTTGGCATAGTGCCTGACACATAATAGGTGTTATATAAATGCTTACTTCCTCTTTCCTTCTCTTTCCCTTCCCAAGAAAAAATCAATTAAAACACAACTACTTTAAGTTTAGAATTAAGCACAAATTACCTTTGAAGGCTTCAAGTTCCTTCCTGTTTAAATATAAAAACAAAATGATGAGTTGTAAAGAATCTATTCATAATTTAAAATTCTATTTTAAAAAAATTTAAAGAAGATTATTTTACTAAAAACCCATAATGTATTTTAACTTATTTACTTTTCATATACTTCCCTAAAATTAAAACACAGGTGGTCCAAATTACATTAATTATATTAATAATTATTATATATAATAAATAATAATTATTATATATAATAAATATTAAAGTTGTTATAATATTTTTTCAGTTAAATCATTTAACAGGCCCATGTAAGAATTAAATAGTGCCAGCATTAGCAAAAACATTACAATATGTATTCTGGAACCAGTTGAGTAAACTCACGTAAATGCTCCTTTGGACAGATTAACACAATTTTCCCTCAACTGTGACAAATTAAATATGAATTATCTAAATTCTTCAATTAAGAAGAATCAAGAATGAAACATTAACATTTTCCTTTGAAAACTGTAAATGTTTGTGAAAGTAGTTTACATCTTTGGCCGGAGTTCTCTAATTGAATCCTACTCTAAACCAAGTCAAGCTTCTGGGAATGCAACTTATTTGTTACTTTGTCAATGTCAATTAGGAATGCCAGAATATAGTTTCCTAAGGAAGCAGACAGCTGGAGGAAATAGATGAGCAAACAAAATGAAACATTATGGGCCTCTTTGTCCAAGGCAAGAGATATTTATAGGATTTCTCTGTACGTCTCTCAAACCAATAATATATAACAATTTAATTTTATTATTTAGAGTATTCTGAGAAGGGGTATGTGTTTATGTGTAACTCCTAGATTTATTCAAAATCTGCTAGTGTTTAGAGTTCTTAAAATATTTAATATATAAAACTAATTACAAAATCTACCATGTTCCTAAATGAATGATTTCAGTTAACAGATGGTAATAAAAATAGATAAGGTGACATAAGACTAAAACAGATAATGTTCTAGCATTAGCCAGTCTGAAGATACTTGAATCAGAACATCATCATTTCCCCAAACCTTCATATTTCCCATAATCACCATATTTCAATAACCAAGAAAAAGTATAAAAACTAATGCCAACAGGCAAAAAAGAAATTTTGTTATTATTCAGCAGACAACAAAATATACCATTTTAAAGAAGTTAAACAGATATATAGTAAACTTATTTTAAGATATATGTTAAACCTATTAAATATATATCTAAAGCCTATTCCCTATTCCATTAACATAATAAACTCTGAAATACCCAATGCAATGGCAATATATAAATATGCTCCCTAAACCAGAAATAAGGACACTGTGGAAACACCTTGAAAAGATTTCCTTCTTGTCTCATTGTGATCCTAAAATTAGCAAACCCCTATCACTTCTGCTCAAAAAGAGAAGGAAAATATCAGTAGGGGTTATGGCACCCTTTATTTCTCTTACTACAGGATAACAATTGTTAGCTACGTTAAACTTTTTTTAAAAGTGTGTTATGTCCAATATAGTTTGATGGAATATGTTCTTTCAAAAAGCTCAGGCTCACAATTTTAACAATATTAGATATCAAAAGAAAAAAATCATTCCAAACAATATCATTTACACTAATTACTGCATCTCCTTTTTGTAAAAGGTACCCTTCATTTGGGTTATGGTGGTGGTTCTTGTCACCCTTCTTGTGACCAATTTTCCACAAATCAATAGGGAACTCCTGTTGCAGTGGGGAAAAGCTGGCCCCCAAAGAGCACAAAAAGCTCCTTAACTATCATCGTCTAAACCCTGCTGTTTTCCCATTTCAAGGCACCAAGAGATTTCACTTCTGGCCTTAGGGAAAATAGTGACCATCCTTGACTTTCTACTTCTGATAACAGAGAAGCTAGAGGTAGTGGTGGAATGGGAAAATCTTTTAAGTAAAATTGTTTTTTACAGGATTTGAGAGTAACAGAATTGACAAAGTAGGACATGAAATCATTTCATAGAAATGGAAACCACAAACTTTAGAATTTTCAGAGTGGAAGAGATCTTATGTTAGGATATTAAAAACGGTAGAAGAAGTGGGATATAGCAGTCTAACTATTTCATTGGAAATAACCAGATTGGGAGAAAAAAAGGACCCAGAAGCATAAATTTTCAGAAATGAAAGGCCTTCAGAGGTTATCTCATCCAACCTATACCTGAAGAGAAGTCTTTCTGTTTCTGACAAATTATAATGCTCGACCCTGTACTGGAATAACTTCTAATGATAAGAGAATCAGAGGACTCACTCCTGAGGGATCCCATTCTGCTTCTGGTCAACTTTATTTTAGGAAGCATTTCTTTATAATCAAGCCAAAATCTACCTCTCTACAACTTCCACCTATCATTCTTAGTTGCTCTCTGGGGCCAAGTAGAACAAAAATGGTCATTCTTTTACATAAGTCTTCTAGTACTTGAAGAAATGTATCCTCTTTGCCCCACTCCTAAAGGATCTCCAGACTAGATATCATCAGTACTTTCAACATTTCTTTGTATGGTGTTATTTCTAGTTCTGATTTTTAAAAATTTCCTTGGAATGTCTTTATCTGAACATATTCCAATATGTCATCTTTTCCAAAATATGGAACCCAGAATTGAACACAATATTTCCAATGTGGCCTGACCACACAGTACAGAAGGAAACATTATACAGCTGAAAAAGTCATTAATTTCCTTGGACTTCTCCGTCACACTATCAACTCATTAAGTTTATGGTCCTCTAAACACCAAGAAATATTAAAGCCGTGAATGAATTAAGACAGTGATGAAAGCCAAAGAACAACAACAACAATAAAAAAGGCATTTTTTAAAGCTATGTGGGCAGCAAGAGGAGAATCAACGAAGAGCAGAGCCATATGTTGGGGTGGATAGGATGATAACAGATGATAGTGAGAAGATAGAACTACTAACTTTTTATTTTTTTTTCTTTACCAAGGAGAGTGGCAGAACAAAAGTGGTTCACAAAAGTGAATCTGGAGAGAGGTAGAGACCATCAGGTAAACTACACCCTAAGTTACTGATTTAATTCTTGGAGGGTTTGAAAAGTAGATTATCTCATTTGATCCTTACAACAACACAGTGAAGTAGGTACCATTTTATTCCCATTTTACAGATGACAGTGGCTAAGTGACTTGTCCAGAGACACCTAGGTAGTAGGTCACTGAAGATTGGAACTCAAGTTTTCCTGACTTCAAGTTGAGCAATCTACCCACCATGTCACCTAACTCTTCCAGGTTGTTTCCAAAGAAGTAGAGAAGGGAAAATGTTCAGATTTAAAAAAAAAAAAAGCATACAGGAGTTATCTATGAGCTAGAGGCTGATGAGTTTGATTTCTATTGCTATCAAATTCAAGATGACTTTATTAAGGGCTGGGTTGTACGCATTTATGAGGGGAAGCAGTAATCTCTAAATGCCTATGTGGTTTCATCAAAAACAGGTAATGCCACCCTAGCCTCATTTCTTTTCCTGATATGGAAGCTCAAGGGAATACTACAGACCAGGGGTTCTCTATCTGAGGTTCATAGAGCCCTTAAAGGTCTGCTGATAGAATTCAAAAGGTCTGTGAACTTGAATGGGGGAAAATTACATCTTTATTTCAATATGATTGGCTTCTTTTATAATCTTATTTTATTTTATGCATTTAAAAACATTATTCTGAGAAGAGGTCTAAAGGTTTCACCAGACTACCAAAGGGGTCCATGATACAAAAATGATCAAGAACTCCTGCCATGAACATTAATTTCAGCAAAGCAAGCAAAGCATTTGATGAAGTTTCATTACTAACAAGTTGGAGAACTGTAGACAGTTCATTTAGGTGAAATAAGAACTAGGTGAATGGCTAGACCCAAGGGACAGTCACTAATGGGCTGATGTTGCCTTGGAAGGAGGTTTCTATGGAAGACTCCAAGGATGTCTTTGTTCTGTGTTTTTAATCCATGACTCGGATAAAGGCAGATGGCATGAGATCAGGAGGGACAGCTAACACATAGTCAGGATTCAGATAAATCTCCACAGGGCCAAACGATGAACTATCCCATAAGGAGAAGTTTAGTTAGGGCTAAGTATAAAAACCGAACACTTAGGTTCAAAAGATTAACTTCACAAGTAGAAGATCGGGGAGCCATGAATAAATAAGTTTACATGTAAAAATCAGAGAGTTTAGTGAACTGCACATTTGATATGAGTTAATAGTAAGATAAAAGAGTAATGTGATCTTTGGCTGCATTGAGTTACGGTGTCTAGAATGAGAGAGGTGATAATCCCATTGATCTCCTTGGTATGACTACATTAAGAATCCAATGTTCAATTCTGAATCCATTTTAAATAATAACCAGCTAGAGACTGTCCAGAAGAGGCCAATCAAGATGGGGAGGGGAATGGAGATTATGCTGCTAAGAATTATTTGATGGAATTGAGAATTTTTAGAAAGGAAAAAAGAAAATTTAGGTAGGTAACAAGAAAACTGCTTTTAGTTATTTGCACAGTTGTCTTGTAATATAAGATTAGAGTTCTGCTTTGCTTCAGCGGACAATGGGCAGAAATACAAGCAATAGATAAAAGGTACAGAAAGGAAGATTTGGGCTCAATATAAGGTCCATCTTTCTAGCAATAAGAGATGTCTGAAGTAGAAAGAGCCTTTCTGGGAGGTAATTGGTTCCTTCTGATTAGAAGTTTTCAAAAAGAAGTTGGATGAGTACATTCTGTAGCTTGTAACAAGCATTCTTGGTCAAACACAGAAAGGTCTAAGAGACCTCTCAGGTTCCTTCAAACAGATCCCATTATTCACTGAAATTTCACCTCATTAGATTTGGCTCACCGGTCTAACCTACTAAGATCTTTTTAGATCATGACTCTGATATCTCATCTGCCTGTTTCTTCGGTCCACTGATACCATTCATGTGCCTACTGACATGCCTCTACCCACATTTCCTGCAAAGGGAAATGCCTGTATTTTATTTTAACAGCTGAATCCAAACTCCATTTCCAATTTTGCTTTTTCACAACATTTTCC